AGGGCACCACAATGATACCCAATCACTCTAACATTCTCGATGTTGCAACTCACATTTCCGGTACTTCTCTCTCCTTACATCAATTTTTTTTCTCATACCCAATGCACGTCTCTTCCTTTGGTCAACGTCACATTACCTCCATACTGCATTCCATCCTTACCATACGGTTGCCGACCAAATTGGTTAAACCGATGGTGCTCTAACTTTCGTCGATTGGCCAACAATCTGTCAACTGTTGTCTGATAATGTATTATGTCAGTCAACCTTGATCAGTTGGAAGTGTTATGCGGGTCAAACTTGTCGGGCTGCTTGTTCCTTGAATAAGATTCAATCCATTTGTTGTGCTTCAACAGTCGAGGTCAACCAACCATACCAATGGTATCATCCTCCTTTGCACGTCGTTGCTCTTCTTTTTTTTCTTTCTCACTCTCTCTTAAATTACCTTCGCTGCTTATTCTCTAACGTTCCTAGTTGGAATCTCATCCCAAGGAATGTACCCAAACTAATGCAAGTGCGTACAAAGGATTTGTAATTCTTTGAATTGAACAATGTGGAATGCATATGCAGTTAGGCAATGTAGCTTGACTTTGGACTTCGTGTGCGTTGCCAATTCAGGTTGACATTCGGTGCATCTCGCGTAAAAAAAACCGCCCATAACAAGGTCACAAAATTAGTAAATTATGACTTCTTCACCCTCCTTTTCTTTTTCACATCGCGTCCGCCATCCCTCTTCTTTTCGTTGATGCCTCCTCCGCTTTTGTGCTAATGCCACCGCCTGGTCAACGACTTTGAGTGAAACGTAGAAAAAAACTTGTTCATCAGACCTCGCAAACTCTTATTTGTAGCCCTAAGGCTACAATATAGTTCGTAACCCTAAGGGTTGTGGTATAGTGGGGTTCGACATATGTGTCAAAGTGCCTGAATTTTGGCGGTGGATGACCACTGCAAAATTGGGCATGTAAGGGTCAAAATTTCTGAATGTCTGCCAGTGGTCCTTCTAGTGCTTGCGGACGACCGACAACCTTAAACCGCCAGTACCTGTCCCCCCCCCAAAAAATATCCATCGGTTAACACGAAGGTCGGCCTCGGGCACGCATGTCGACCACATTCATCCAAAATGCTCAGCGCCCAGGGCTCGCAATCGACATACGGAAAAGGTACTGGCGGTTTAAGAAGGCCTTACCGGTAAGTAGCATTTCAAGGAACCAGTCTCATGCGTAAGTCTAATTCCTAGTGACACTTAGAGGGACAGTCCCGCAATGTGCAGGAGGCAACTTTAATGATTTTTTGTGTTGAAGACTTTGCAAAAAAACTATGAAAATTTGAGAATTGGTAAAGTAAGTTCTGCTCTTTTTATGAAAAATACCAGAAAAATTATAAAAATTTGATAAGACCACAGAATAATCGCTGCGCTGATTCAATGCATTTTTCATTTTTTCCACTCAGCCATGTGGGGGTCAACAAAAAAAAAACTCAAACTTTAGTGATTTTTATCGCTCAGATGAATACGTGAAAAAATGTAAAAGTTATAATGCTCACATATTTTATTGTGATTTTTCTATAAAATATTAAACAAATATATTATTTTAATCACAAAATGAATCGCCGCGACAATTTTGACAAAATCTTCATTTTTACCTTTCAACATTTTTCTCTCTCCCTCTCTTTTTCTTTGGTAGCCCCCCCGCTTTTCTCCCTCTCTCTCTTTCTTGCTCCGTTTTTTTTTTTTTTTTTTTTTTTTTTTTTTTTTTTTTCTC